AATGTCTGGTAAATACGATGCATGGACTCTATCTGAAATCAGAGAAGAGCTGATGCAGAGAGGAGCTAAAATGAATGGCAGAAAAGCAAAGTGTATTGAGAGGTGAGTGATATTAGAGCTAGGTCCTAATGTCATGGTGTATCAGCGATAGCTAACGTTTTTAAGTGTCACGGGCTTTTGAAATTATATATGATATTGTGTACATAATTTCTATTTTTGGGCTCAAACATGACCGATCATAATTATTAAAGAAGCCCAAAGTGTCATGTATAAATCATAGTTTGTAGGTCGCGAAATAACATGTAACCTATACTAGTTAGGCCTACTAGTATCCTATTTATTGGTTTCATAAAAGCAGCCTGCGCAATCTTTTCCAGATTAGAGAACTATTACACTCTCTCCACTACGTTCCATTTAGCTAAACTTAGTCTACAAAATTATTTTTATAGGTTATAACTAGGCTTATGTAATGCATGATACTTGTTAAAATCTATAGTAGGCCTGGAAAATGATTGTCAGTAATATTATAAAATTAATATATATATATATCATTTTTTTTTTTATTGTAACACCAGGTGCCCTTCTAAGTGTGTTCAGCTGGTCCAAAACATCAACACCACAGTTCATGAGAAGAACCGAGTGAGCACTGGAAAGGATTAAACATTCAACCAGTAGTTGACACACCTGGTGAATCTATCCTAGTTCTATAAAATGTCAGTAACAGTACCAAATACACATATTTAGATGTGAACAAAAGTTAATCATTATCATAATTTCAATCAATAGCTACAACTATATCGTTTTATTCAACAATTTAGAACAAGGTTCTTACCAACATAGCGAAACTGTGCTTGTGTCCATGTAACAAAACAATAGTCTGACATTGTATTATCGAAAATCAAACTGGTGTATTTACGTGTTTTACACTCACAAAAAAGAAATCTATCATTCTATAGGTATGTTACGACAGCGGAAGTCACGTGACGCTGGTGACACGTGATGAATTTCTCGAATGATCATGAATGATCGGGGAGGCCCGAGTGTATTCGAGACGCCCCCTTCTTTAGTATATAAGCCTGGCAGAGAAATCCAGTGGGATAATATATAAAGTGTGTGTTTTGTACTCGTCGAGAACGAGGTTATCGAGATTGTGAATCACTGTGATTTATAGCGTGTATTATAAAAGTTCTTAAGTTTAAAGTGAGGAGAAACGTACTGACTGTGGAATTACTGTGTACTAAAAGTTTGTATGGAGAAAGAATAAACGGGTTTAATCAAGAAAGGACTTGTATCGCTGAAGTTCCTCGGAAAGAATTTCTACCGGTAATTAACAAACAAGCAGATACGTAACAGGTATTTGAAGAACTTGTAACAATCCGCCACAATTTAATTCTTCGTATTGTTAGCCGACACTGGGCAGCTTGTACATAATTGAATAAGTAGAGTTGTTTAAACATTTGTTTAACAAGTAAAAGCTTGGAATGGTCTATTCCTTCATTGGAGGGGGGGGGGGTCTGTGAGCCGGACTAGTTTCGGAGAATTCCACTCCTCATCACTGACCCTGGACACTGACACCAATGAAATATCAGACCAAACCAAGCCTTTATACCAGTCTGGCTCACAGACACACACACACACCCCAATGAAAGAATACACTGTTCCAAGTTTTTACTTGTTGTTAAACTAATGTTTAAACAACTCTACTTATTCAATTATGTACTGTATTATCCTCATATTATTTTGTTTACCTGTTGAGCAAATCGGCTTTTCCACCAGTAGTTTTAGCTCCACTGCATTTAAATTCCATTTTAATCATGCTAAGATTCCAATTTTCATATTTCTCACTGATTTTGGAGCAATTTATAGAATAAATATTTGAGAAAACAAGTGGAATTCATGTACCGCTCAAACAGGTTGATTCAGTTATTGACTGTTTTTTGTTGTTTTTTTTGTAATTAAGCACAAAGCTACACAATGGTGCTCTGCCCACCACGGGTATCGAAACCCGGTTTCTAGCGTCGTAAATCCGCAGACATACCGCTGTGCAACTGGGGGGCTTTAATTACCGTATTTGGAATGGTTATTGACTAACCAAGTGCTGAATTGGGAAGCATGTTGGCTCGATGCTGGGACCGCATCGATACTAGCGCCACCGCGCGTTAGCGGTTTCGCGCATGGCTACTCATAACTATGGCATAATTACAAAGCATTCTATTAATATATGGTAAACAAATACGTCAAACTCTAATATACTTAATTACTTCTAATTTGTTTTAACTATTTGTAAGAAGAGATGAGCAAATGCTCACTTAAAAAAAACGACTAATCATTATATTTCTTATGTATGCAAAGAATGATGTGGTTAAAATTAAATGATTTTTTTATATTTTCAATAAGTGTCCAGATATTTTCTATAAAGCATATATACACACAACACTCAAAGTCAAAAGTCAAGATCTAAACCAAAAAAAATTACAACTGCAGTTCTGCTGCTAGAATAAAATGAAGGGAAACAAACTGCTGTATGTAGATTGAACTCCGACAATAAAGTAATAAAATAACACTATCCATTTACAAACTCGATTTCATGCTAATTATGATATATTTATTAATTAGCCATCTCCTATTGTTTTAGCAAAATTTTATTTGTAAACAGCCTACATTTATTTACTTTGGGTGGAAGCGTCAATGTGTGGCTTTTGTTGTGCATCTTTGCAAAGCAGTCAATGACTGCATCCTGTTCACTACTTTTTCAATCAAAATTATTGAAATTTGCTGCAGCCTATTTTGCCCCATTGTGCTTCTCAGTCAGGTATGTAAACGTCTTAAACACTCAATGATCTTTCATAACTGCAACTGCAAAACTGTCTCTCTTGAGATTAATGAGAGCCTATTCCAGGCTAAATAAATTTCACGTTACTTACTTAATTTGTTAATGTCAAACTTACCCAAAGCTACTAACAATTTTTAGGTGAATTGTCACTCTCAGTAAAACATACCTCAAAATATCATCACCTGACTGCCAGTAGAAAAGATAATTATCTAACTTCACACACTACAGGTGATCTTACAGTTCTCTTTACCACGAAAAGACAAAACTTGCTACTCCAGGAGAATGATATAAAATAATAAGTAGATAGAGCAACAGTAAGTTAACGACCTTCTTGACCACTGTGTAATGTAGAAATTGCACATAGTTGTTCAAATAAAAAACTTATAAGGAATACTATATTAATACAAGGATTTAAAGAACACATAGTATGCTTATATACCACATAATTAAGGGAGAAGAAATATATATAATCACAGTAGTGTTGCAACAATCGGGAGTATCTTCCTCAACACAGAACAAAATATAAACTTTCATGTCCAATGCTCTCCAGGTAACACAGTGTTACGACAGCGGAAGTCACGTGACGCTAGTAACACGTCATGAGGTTCTAGAAGGGTCATGTTTGTTCCTGGTAACTCTAGTTTTTTCTACGCGCCCTCTATTTTTGTATATATGAGCCGGCAAATGAAGTGACGGCATAGATAATTGCAGACAGGCAGAGATAGAGACGGACAATTGAGTTAAGCACGATAGTGACCGTAAGTAAAGTACGTGAATCGTTGTGAATTATAGCGTGTGTTTAAGTTAGAGTGACTTTGGAAATTAAGTGTATTGCAAAGTTATATTGAGAAAGAATAAACTAGTTTTATTCAAGAAAGGACTTGTATCGCTAAAGTTTCATCCGAAAGAAATTATAAGGGAAATTAACAAACGACCAGAGACTTAACAACAGTATTGTTACAACAGCGGAGGTCACGTGAACTAGCAACACGTCATGCACTTCTCGAACGTTCACGTCCCTTCCTGACTTCTCGAGAGCTTACTAGATTCGATATTCTTGCATATATAAGACGGTCACAAAGTGACGGCAACAATGTGTGTAATTGAACTAAGTATTGTTGAGTCGAGCACGTGAGACGTTCGTTGAGAATTATAGCGTTTGTTATAGCGCGGCTGTTAATATTAAGTGTATCGCAAAGTTATATTCAGAAAGAATAAACCAGTTTTATTTAAGAAAGGACTTCTATCGGTAAAGTTTCTTCGGAAAGAATTTTTACGGCAAATTAACTAACGAACGGAGACGTAACAGTATATTTCCACCCCTTCAATTCTTTTATTAGAGAGCGTATGCCATGCTTGTCACTGATATTAATTCAAGTTTGTGAAAAGCTATGATGGCGGCTTGAATTATTGACATATGGACATATTATTGAATTATATATAATAAATAAACATGGGTTAAAAATTTAGTGTTATATGATCTGACAAAGTAGATAGTGAGTAATTGAACTGCAGTAAGAGAGAGACGTATTGTTGATGTTAACGTCCGTACGTTACAGCGTTTGTTTAGCGCGATTGTTGAAGTTGGGTGTATCGGTAAAGTTGTAT